GCTCGACCGCCGACGTGTGTTGCCCTTGGCGTGGAGGGGACATACTTTGTGGTGTATAGCGACGGTACAACATCGTTCGATCTGCGGGGCCAGTATCCTCGCCTCGAGTCATTGATCATAGAAGAGGCACCCGGAAGACGCGGCTTTACGGTGGGCACAACTTACCAGCGCCAACGATCTTGTGGCTGACGATTTTCCAGTACGTCGCGTTGAATCCATTCGTGGCCGGAGAGTACTACGCGGTTTACGGCGACGATACATCGACCTGGCTCTTGCCTCCGACCTGGGACGACGATGTTAAGGTCGTGAGCGCATAAATCCTGGGCTCACCACTGGCAGATCCCGCACCAGAGGCTGTAATCGTCGAGTTGGACCCTGCAGCATGCGAGCCTGCCCCCACTCCCGCCCCAGCGCCAAAACACAAAGACAAAATCAATTGGCAAGAAGGCCTAGCGATAGGGCTCAAGGCTGCGGAAGGAATTGTGAAAATGGTGGATGCTTTTCAGTATCAAGGATCCACTCAACAGCAGCAGGTCGTGTTTCAGGAGACCATATATAATAACGGGAGTGAGACAAGGATCGTAGATCTAGAGACCTGGCAGTCAAGTTGATAGCGAGAGTAGAAGCACAGAATAAAAAACATAGTATATACCGATCCTCAGAAGAAATCGGCAGAGCTCATCGTCGCCATGCTATCAACGGCTTTCAGAAGTTTCCTCCACATCTGTCGAAATGGATTCTTGATGGGATGAATGAGTCTTCAGGGTTTAAAAACGTCCGCTCCGAACGTACCTCGGGGACGGGAGTAATCCCGTTTCGGAAGCAGGTCGTCCCTCAGCGCCAAGATGGCCGATTCAACCTAAGAGCGGTTCCATGCGGGGTAAAACTACAACTGAATTAAATCCATTTACCTTCACCAGGGCAGGCGGAATTTCGGAGACAATTTGTCGTCCCCCGTTCACATATTGTAGGATTGCGTCCGGCTCATCACCGTAGACTTCATGGCCGGGAAGCTGAAACTTGACAAATGCCCCCTTGGTTGCGGCCGGGCCCAGATCGTAACACATGTCCGTGGGGCATGATTCCTTTCCACATTCACGTTGGGAATCAGTTATTTATTCTGGTACATTCGGTGTTGATGTTGGCTTACATATTGTGGCCGACTCCAAGATCCCCCTGCACCCACCTTCAGGTTTTCTTTCGCTTCTGCGACCCATCCGAGAAATTCAGACCACCTTTCTTCCGGAACTTCTGCAACAACCCCTCTATCATCGACAACAATACCGACACCGGTGCTCGGATGGTCAAGGGCGGCGAAACTGACACCAGTACCGCCCATCGAGTTGTACGACTCTATCGCCACGACCTCTTGCGGGCTCGGGAGAAAGACAGAAGATGTGGCGTTGGGCGACATGAGCGTACTGCGTGAGTTGTTAGAGGCACAGTGGAGTCGGCGTCAGTTCCGGCTCCGCGGTGGTGGTGCACAATATTGACGCGTTGTGGACACGTATGGACGCGCCGAGATCACCAAACGAGTGATAGAATCAAGATTGAGTGATTGCCGGAACTGTGCCGCAGAGGCGAATCTCCCTATGATTGATGCAATTCGACCTTCTGCAACCCATGGGTTCCCTAGCTGTGACCGCTCAATGCCGCTGATGCCGTCGAAAGCAGTTTGAAGGTTTGGGAGCGGTTTGTTGCCCGTTAACTTGCTTTCGCCTACTCCCAACTGCTTTGGCGAGGCCGGAAGAAAATAATGTGAGACTACACCAAGCTACAATATGATAGCGCAGGTATTGTCCCACTCCTTCCATGTTCCTTTCATTTCTGGACACAACTACGTCCTTGGCGACAACTTGAACCGAATGTTTGACCCTGAGAGTTCACAGTATCGTTGAGTAAGGCTGACAGGCTGGGACACGCGGCTGCAAATGCATGCCCTGGATTCAAGGGTGGAAATTGCTCACAGAGCTATTGGATATTATTCACCGCGAATGTGTTATTCAACACGTTGCTCGGCCATTTGCCGGGCACGCCAAAACTCTGAGATCGAAAATATAGGCACTGTTTGGGATACCAACCTCTCATGCAGCATGAGTAACAACTGTTCGGTGTTTCTTTGCCATCTCGGGTTGATCTCGGGCATCCACAATGACATCTGGTTGCTAATACCTTGGGTAAACTATATTTTTCTGTGCTCCCGGATCTTTTAACAGAAGCCACAGAGAAGTTGCTGTGTCTGAGAGTGCACAGTTCTCCTCTCAACCGAGAAAGTCTGAATTTCGGTTTTCACACACTGGATTTCCTTCACCTTCAAGTGAAACAGACGCCCAATTTAGGTAAGGCACGGCAATCAGTCGGTTTTCAATTACATCATTTGTTTCAGCGTGAGCCTCCTTCCCACACCACCATGACCTTGCATTTCTTGGTCCTTGTTGCCGGAACCCTCGCGTTCTACGCGGTGTATTATCTTTCCAGAATGGTGTATCACGATATAACCAACCCTTTGCGCGACCTCCCTGGGCCCAAGGGCGGAAATGTGGTTGTGGGGCACTTCAGACAGCTCATCCAAGTAGGGCCGCTCAATCTGTCGATTCGTCGAAAATTAAACAGTCACGGACGGAAGGATTTCTCTCTGCCAGATAAATGGCGCGATGAATTCGGTGCCAACTACCAGTCGAAAGGCTTCTTTAACGTTCGTAATCCGATCCCAACGTTTGCCAGTGTGCGCTCACATATTGACGGAGCTTAGAGGCGTGATCTATATACCACAGATACTAGGGCGCTCAATCACATACTCGTAAACGACCACATATACCAGAAAGGGCCGGTAGCTCACAAGATTCTAAACCATGTTCTCGGAAATGGTGGGTGACTAACATTGACAGATCCTGCCTCATCCTCGCAAGTAGGTCTCCTTTCTGTGGAGACAGCGGAGCACAGGCGTCAGGTACGCCTTCCCGCAGGACAAAAATTTCACTCACGGAGAAGCACAGAGGAAAATACTGGTCGGGTCGCGGCGACAAGTGATTGTGCTGTGTGCTGATGTTGTTACAGAATCCCGCATTCGGCGTACCGCAAATCCGAGCGTTGACCGGCATTTTCAAACCTCAAGTCGGCCCAGGTTGGATTCTCTTGCTCATTATACATTCTGAGCTCATAATATTTCTTCAAGCTTCGAGACATTCTCAGTCGAGAGATTGAGAAGAACTCTCGCATCGATGTCTTTGGATGGCTCAGGAAAATGACTCTGGACGTCATTGGAGAGGCCGGCGAGTATGCGTGTGCATCACGGTAATTTTCCGCCAATCATCGGTCCAGGCTTCAACTATAAATTCAATGCCCTCGACCCGAACGGGCAAATCAACGATCTCGAAGATGCGCTCACTCGGCTCATGCATTCTCCGCAGGCTCAACGACAGACCGCGATGCGACTGGTGCAGGTCCAGATCCCCATTTTGCGCCTTCTGGTATTGATTGAGTGCTCCTTTGGAGTCCTGCTTACTCATACGTGCATCCAGCCAACTCCCGGCGGAAAGATCGTTGATGAGGCACGTACAAAGATGGGCAACATTGCTAAGAAACTACTTTCAGATAGCCAGGCCGATATCAAGAGTGGTGGAATCTCCGCGAGCCAACGTGATCTTCTCTCTCTCCTGGTTCAATCGAACATGTCCTCTGAGATTCAAGAGCACCAGAGGTTGAGCGATGCGGAGGTTGTTGCACGTACGTCATTCGTTTCATCTGTTTCTCACACCCTCTTTGATACGCTCGTAGAGATCCCCACCTTTTTCGTCGCGGGTCATGAAAGTGGGTGTCGTCCAATTGTTTCTTTCGTCATTCTTGAATTATCCAATGCATTTGAAACAGCCACAAGGTCAGTAATCTCGATCCGCAAAACACAGCGACTGTTTGACGCAATAATATTTCAGTACAGCAACCGCTCTGGCCCTACACGCGTTGTCCATCCATCCTTCGGTTCAATCGAAACTTCGAGAGGAACTGTTCAACATCGCGACCGAAGATCCGACGATCGACGAGCTCAATTCCTTCCCATATCTCGAGAAGGTGCTGCGGGAGACGATGCGCTTGTATCCTCCGGTCGGTTTCAGCATGCGCGAGGCTATGCAGGATGATGTCCTGCCCCTCAGCAGATCATATCTCGACAGAAATGCAAGAAGCTACGACACCATTCGGTATAAGTTACCGCCACTTGGGTGAATTATCTTCACGCCCAGCTGACAACGTACATAGGGTTCAAAAAGGGACTGCGATACGTATTCCGATCTCGGCTGTCCATCGTGATACGGAAGTCTGGGGAGCAGATGCAGCTGTCTTCAAGTATGTGCTATTTCTGATGTCCGAGCAGGATATGAGTCTAAACACAATAGACCCGAGCGATGGGATAATATTCCCGAGAGATCCAGCACGATTCCAAGCGTCTGGGGGAATCTCATGACCTTTCTCGCCGGTAAGAATTCTCATATTTAGGATGCATACTTAGGGATGCTGAAAATCACTCCAGGTCCGCACAATTGCATTGGGTTCCGGTTTTCCCTCGTCGAGTCAGAGACTTTTCGGTTCACTTTGCATGCACACTGATCGCGGAATAGGATCAAGTCCCTGCTCTTCACGCTGCTCCGCGCCTTTGAATTCGAGCCAGCCGTTCCCGAGGACATGATCGGATTCTCAGCAACCCCAGTTCGACGTCCGAAGGTAATCACAGAACCCGAGGTTGGGAACCAGCTGCCTCTCATTGTACGGTCATATACTACGAGGGTTAGGTGACAATTTAACTGGAACGTTGTAATATTATGGATGTATCTTGAGATCTCGAGGGCCAAATATAAGAGATGATCGTTGGAAATATTCATCCCAGTGGCGCACAGACCAACAAAGGGACAATTCCGGTCATCTCTTTAGTGCTGTTGTGAATGTGGTTGGCAGAGTTCAAACGTGTGGTCGAGATGAGGGAAGCCGATCACTCGGCTTCGACATCGGGCCGCCTGGTGAAATGGCATCGCGTCTGACTACGATCCGGGAATCGTTTGGACCTTATCAGGAGATTGCAGGTTCGACCCCTGCGGTGGTCATTTGCTTTTGCTTCTCTTTTGTTTTACCTTCCCCGGCTCAGAGAAACGATTCAGCCGCCGGGTTTCAGGTTGCGAACAATCAGAATCAACCGCAAATTCTTCGGGTCAGTTCCCGCTGCACCCGCTCATAAGCAAGTCCCAACATCCTCGAGTGTGGCACGCATACATATTCATCTGCAGATGACCTGGCTTCAGTGGCCTGTACAATCCGACCGGCGAGCCGTTGAACACTCTGAAGATTCGCCGGCGATCATGATTGATTGATGGTGTCACGGAATTCCGTGATCTGTGCATGCCGAGGCAGCCGATCGCCCCTTATTTCGCGCTCAAGCCTGCTGGGGCGCGTTTGGGGCCCGAGATCTTGGGTGTGTTTGTTGGCACCATTTTTCTTGCCCCCCATTTTCCCTCTTTTACCACAACTTGAAAACTTCAGTGAGATCGGTCGTTGGACGTTTGGAAACTAGTCTTCACGTTCTAAGTGGGTAATACATGGAACAAAGAAAGGTAGTCGCGGTAAAACCAATCACTACCTGACATTTCGGTTGACTAGAAAAAGTTCAGTCTTGCGGTCACGAATTTTTGGGTGATAAATTGAACTCCAAATCGCCGAGTTCTTACCTGCTAATCGCGAATGTGTTCAATCTTTATTTGCCGGAGACTTGATGTGGTTGTAGTGACAGTTCCAAACCCTGGGGTACGACATCAACGGCGCATCCGCACGTGCCCGCGATGAGTAGCTCGCCCACGCTACCTTACTCGCCCTCAACCTGGCCCCGCGCAGATTTCTGTTGATCCAGAGTTTCAGCGCTATTTGTGGTCGCCCAAGCATTAGTCGGTTTCACGCCGTCCATAGAATAGCTGGAGGTGTAAGATATAGCGTCAAGAATGTCTGCCTTGTGGAGGAGACGATATGCGGAAGTCGCTAGTATGCCGACATTGGCAACAATCAGCACCGAGGAGGCCTGCAGAAAGGTCATGCGTAAGAAGTTACATATACTGTGGACAGAATGATCTTGCCTCTGCCTGGGCCGTGACACCTTCGAGTGAACCACCAGGACCGAGAAGAGCTACCGCGTGGACAATCGAAACAAGCGTGGTGAGAAGACAGGCGGCGAAAATCACGATGAGCATCCTAGAGGCGCGTTAATCGAACAAGTATATGGGTCAGCAAGAAATAAACGCACTTCCACTGGCTGGCCGGAATATCGGCATGGCGTATTAGCGTGATTGGGAGCGTGGCCAGTGTGATATCCGCAACAATGTCGGCTGGAGGCAGATATTAGCACGGGATCGACCTCTCCCACCAATAGAAACCAACGTACTAACAAGTTGCAAAGCTCCCACCCCTTTACCGAGAGGACACTGCTGAGGGCCGTGCCCATGGTACCACGATCTATCCGATGCGCAAATGTATACCTTTTGGATGACCAGGCCCATCCAGCACAAACCAAATACCGCCGCACAGGCAGAAGTAATCTGGCGGCGAGTAAATCAAAATCAATTTTCTCGCACAAGGTAGAAGAATGTATACCTTCCGGAGCCTGGAGCGGTTATCATGGGGAACAAGGCGAATAACGAAGAGCAGAGGGTTTACTGGGACGGGGTATGTTGGCTTGACCGTCTATGACTGCCGCCGCCGCCACCGAGGACCAGGCGGCAGCAATGGACTGTTGGAAATACAAGCTTGAACCACGGCAACTATCTATTGTTTCACATTTTTATTTCAACTACTATTTCACCGTTGCTAGCTGCCTGTGATGGATATCTCTGTTTCATGACTCAACGACCGTAGGTTCTATTTTATTTCCAATTCCTTTTCATTTCATATTCTATCCACTGTGTGGATGCTCATTTCCTTCCTACCTACTAATTTACAACCCTTGTTTCATCATATTTCAAACACTCTTGTTTCACTTCTTATTTCACTTCGCCTTAGCTACCATTGAGTATATAAACCGCTGGTACTGGATAATATAACTCACTTTTCACCCACACAATTACTCTGCTCTAACGCGCCCTCCGCAATCGCTTAATTGCCTTGCTTCGTCTATCAGACATTGGTAAATGTTTCGCACTTACCTCTGTCTAGGACATCCTTCAATCGAGTATTGCCAAAGCTGCGAGCTGGCTATACTTGATTGTTCACGCGTTATCAAGGAACTTGTGCACGGGGTTCAGTGAACCACAAAAACTACACGATCCGTTACACTGCCCACATTCTTTCCCCCACAACCGCATGATATCCGCAGCACTTTATTCCAATTTCCGAGTCCCTTGTTTCATGTTCCTTATTCATGTGATAGTTTGGTACATATAAAAGCTGTAGTCCTTGTCGTAGTTTACCTCACTGGTTTGCCTCGCAATTACCTCTTGCTTGCAAAAATCCTCCTGAGCTCAATTCTACATGGACGCCAAGATGCCGATGCCGGCGATGCCGCATCTCCGGCGAACTTGGTCTGCTCTGCCTCGGCAACGGCTTTAGGCCTGGCAACTGTTTAACCCTCCCGGCCGCGTCGTGTCGGCAGCAGTGGCATCATCGCTGGTATCGCTCGAGGCAGCACTAGATGTGAGGTGTTAGGTTCTTGGGTATCCCAGGCGTAACTGTACGCACCAAAAGGGCACCGAGATTGAAACCTGAGTCCCAGATGAAAATGGGGCGCGGCCACCGCGCTCTTGTTAATTCTAGAGGGTAATGTCGTGAAGAGAGTGAACGTCGACACCTGCGCAAGGGATCCAAAGGCAATAGTTCTATATCATTGGTTATCTGTCAGCATTTTTAGAGCACAATATTGGAGAAGCAACACCATACCGTCATAAAAAACAGGTTATACGACGTTGTCGTGGCGCAAACCTGGGTCAAGTTGGGGTGCCTGGATCACCGACATGAATTGCGAGCGGGGTAACACACCGCGGATCCACCCACCGAATTTTGGCCCATTTTCCGAGTGTGCGCCTCGGAGCTAGTGTTGCCGATTCAGATGTCCGGTTCGGTCCGGTTTTTTGGTAAAATTTCCGAACCCCGAACCTGACCTGGGGTCCGGTTCGGACAAAATGGGCGAACCCCGAACCGAAGATCGGTCCGGTTCACCAAGGGTTCGGTTCAGGTTCTGAACAGGTTCAGACCTCAAAGAACCGTAAATTTTTCTCGCTTGATTTGGACATAGAAACAGTATGAAATGCAAACTATTCGTCAAGAGCATCCAAGGCGACAACATGCTCGGACACGATCATCACATCTACGTTGACACCTCAACTTTATGGCATATCAGGATCATCATGGGTCGGAAATGGTATTCTCTGAAGCTCCGCATGGCTGGAAAGAGCTGGGTTGGGATATTTGCTGGTTTGAAGCTATCGTGATCGAGATTCTTTTCCATTTCCTCATCCAACTCCAGTTCCGAGATATCCACCTGCTCATTCACTCCGACAACAAGGTGGCTATCGGAGCCCTGTCGAAGTCGCATAGTCCCAACGTCCACCTCAATCTTTGCGCATGACGCACACAGGTACTGAGAAGCGATCATATGATCGTGAAAAAACTGATCTATGTTGAATCTCATCTAAATCCCGCCGATTGTCCTTATCGCGGCCTTGCATCCTCCTCATTTCCACTTCACAATCACCTGAAGCGACTCTTCCATTTGCCGCCGGACCTCGACGAGCTATTCGTTCCGGGTGACTGGTACATCCCGGACATGACATCTGCAACAGTTCCCACACGCAGGTAAGGCGGAATAAACATATCTCTTCGCACGACCTTACATCGCTCAGAATTTTCTCGCTCACCTCCCTCTCATACATAGAAGTCTCATCGGGAACATCACCTTGCATTGATATGAACATACAACCTGACCAGCCTAAGAAACAGTGAGTTTGTCTATGGCGTGTGACGTGGCTTTCCTCTCATGTAACCAAAGCATATTCTCCCTTGCTTAACACACATACACTACTGTACCCGATGTTCAACCATCGGGTCCACACTCTAACTCGCCTAAGACGAGTCTCGCCATTTCTGCCCAGACATCTGCTTGTCCATGCATTATACAGACACATTCTCGCATTGCATACATGCTGACCACGCGCAGGCCGACGGCCACTTTCGCATCCCTGTCCTGAATCACCCGGGTTCTACTTTTTCATGTGACGTGTCCGTATGGATACAGACACGTCTTAGCGGCACAGGACTCTCATGATGCCACCACGTGACCTTCTCACAGTTGAAACCCGGCTACAGATTCTAAAGCCACAGACTCAGGGAGTCTGCACCACGGGATACAGAAGACATTAGGGACTAGGAACCCATGCAGACAGATCCTAGTCCCCAGACGCACCAACAGCTGACACAGAAGCGTACACGAAGTACATGACTGGTTGCAAACCGATCGGGGTTTAAACCACTGGATACAATGACATTCAGGATTAGGAAACCCGAATGTTGGGTCTCCTAAGTCCTCCGACGCCATGGAAACAGATACAGAGGAGTCCAGGAGTATCAGCATTAACGCTCCTTAATGCTGCGGTACAGGAACTGATCGTGATTGACCGTGATCACTTTAATTTATTAGAAGCCTATATAAACTGGGTAGAATCTCCATGTACAGTAGATTCTACCTTGTCTAATCTCAGGCTTCTACCTTGGCTTGACATAGGCATTGTCTCCACCCTGCCCCGCTTCCTCCACATCGTACTACAGGTTGTATCCACGCCCTGGGTTGTATACCTGAGTGGATACCACACCCTCTTCAACTTGTTCTGGGTTGTGCCTCGCATCCCAACCTACGACATATGGCCTCCTAGGGAGGACACCGTATGGTTGGTCCTACTACTCGGGGAACACACGAGCTATTAGCGTCTACCGGGTTTATCCTGGTTGGGGTTCTCACCGGGTTACTCGCTGCTTACCTGACCCAGAGGCCGTTGCTGACAATCCCCACAACATCTCAACCCCTGACATCTGCATGAACCCACGCCGCACTGCGGAACAGTTGCTGCACCCAAAG